GACCTTTCTAGTGTTTTTATTTTATTTTATTTTTTGTTAACATAATATGAGCATAACTTGAACTGCATGTATTTCCATCTTTTCAATAAAACAATGATTTTCTATAAAAATACAAAAAATTCAAGAACCTCATAACATCTGACCTACCTAACCCATATATCACAAGATATGATTTTATCTTGTTAACATAACAAGTTCCTGTTTGAGCCCAATTTGTGCCATGGGCTTACCGACAGCTGATGAGCCTAGTTTTTACCCCTTTCCATAACATATATTCACTTTATTCATAGTTAAGAGTTTAATTTGGGCATTAAAGTTTTAACTTCAAATCTTGAAATGAGAGTAGAGAGGTTTAAGAAGAGAAAGTGTAGTTCTTATTTCATAAACCATCATCAAACATACTAAAATAGCAATTAATGGTGCAGGTTCTCTTCAGTCAGAGCGTAAGGTACTGGGTTTGTAAACTTGTATTGTATAAACATTTGTATAAAAAAATATGTAACTCTATCATTCTCCTAAGATGAAAAGGATGACGACTTGTCCTTGCATTAGAAGTTTCTAAATACATTAAATAAAGCAATTCTGTGCCTCATCACTTTGTCCACACAACACCCCCCACTGTTGATTACTACTCAAATCTGTTAGTCTCATATACATTGTTGACTAGTTGGTAAGATTTTTGCAGATACAAAAACGACACATTTTTGCAGATCCCAATTTGTGCCATGGACTTTGCGTTGGTTTTATGTATTTGTTTTTTTTTTTCTTTTCTTCATGTGATTTTATTGGGGGTTATATACTCAAACGTGTAGAGATGCATGAAAGGTTAGTTCTATTCCGTGGAGCAAAGTTTAATATTGAGTCCCTAATCAAAATATAACGATGACTACATGTGAGAAAACAAAAGAAGTGTGCCTGTTTCATCTCATGCTATACCCAGAACCTATGTATTTTACTTCCTGAATTCTAAAGCGTGTGTTCTATCTCTCTTTTGGCCTTCCTTATTGCTTGTGATTTCGTTTTGGAAGGGGGTGAAGGGATGGTAATAAGTAAGTTACGAAATCTACTGCAGGGAGATCAGGCTCCGTTGCAGTATTGAGCCCAAGATTGACCATTGATGTGCCAAGGACTGAGATATCACCAAGATCACCATCGACTTTAATACCATATGTCATGGATCACACAAAGTTGTACCTACATTCATAGGGGAAGGATAGAGTCTATCAACTATCAATTAATCTCAATCACAAAGATTATAGAAGATTGGAACCCAATCACCTAAATGATTTGAGTAGAAGACCCACAATCATATATTGACATTAGCATGGCCTCACACTAACATGATGTAATTACTCTGATACTAGCTGAAAATAACAATAAAATCTAGGTTAAATCCTCATTTTGGTCTTTCTAGTTTGGTAAAAAGTTTTTTTTAGTCTTTTAAGTTAAAAAAATTCCTTTTTGATCTTTAAAGTTTGAAATCTAACTCCTTTTTAATTTCTCCGTTAAGTTTTGTATACGTGATATGTTAGATGATGAAAATTTTAAAGTTAAGGGATCAAAAAGGGGCTAAAAATAACCTCAATTTGGTCCCTCTACTTAAAAAAAAAAAAGCTCATTTTTGGTCCATTTCCTATGAAATTTCTATAATTTAACGTCAAAATTCAATGGAGAGACTAAAAAGGACTTGATCATTTTCCTTTGAAATTTTTGTTATCTAACATCAAAACTTAATAGAGGGACTTAAAAAGAGTTAGATTTCAAACTTTAGAGATTAAAAATAAAATTTTTTTAAATAAAGGGACTAAAAAAAAACTTTTTATCAAAATAGAAGAATCAAATTAGAGTTTTAACGTAAAATCTGCCTGACTTTTAAAAAAGTTTAAGATTAAGTTATTATTAGTAATTTAAATTATATATCACTCATAATTATACTTCTTTTCCAATATGAGATTGAGTATCATATTAACCCAACTGCAAAAGAAGTCCTAATGAGTACTCCTTGTACTCCCTTAATAAAATAATTATTTGCATTTAAAAAAAAAAGGAGTCCTAATTACACATGAATCTCACCACTCACAAAGAAAAACAAGATAGAACCTAGATCACAATACCCACAGTAAAGAGATTGTGGCAATCTTAGAACAGTTTCCTCTTCTCACTCATCTCGATATTTAAGTGCAAGAGTTTCAACTTAAATCTCAAACATTTATTTTTAAGATGCTTTTGAGAACCAAATATTTTATTCACATAAATATTCTGCTAATTTCAAATTAATTGAATATGTTTAACTTTTTAATCCTAAGGAGACCTCATAGTCATCGTTGAGGCATTTCACAACAAATGTTAGCATACCCATGAGCGGGTGGATAAGTTGGTTGGGACTCTTTCAGCTTAACCAGAGATCTTGAGTTTAAGTTCTGGGAATGCAGTTCCGTTAAAACTCATGAGAGAGAGCTTTACCGTCCATTGGGTCCTGCCCTGCTCGAATGCGGATTAGTCAATGATCCAATGGGCTTCTGGATACTGGATGGTCATACAAAAAAAAACAACAAATGTTAGCATATTCTAAGATATTAATACATATAAGAATAGATCCTATTATTTAGGATAGGAACAGAAAAAGTACCCTGTTAATCTCAATTGTTAAGTTTCCTAGGGGCATTGAAATTGAATGATGCATGAACCATACTGTTTGGAACACTACATGTACACTTTTTTTTTTTTCTTTGTTGACCCAGGGAACATATTGAATTCGTCACGCCAACAAATTTGTACGTAGTTTTCAAACTAAATGAACACTAATCTCTTTTTTTAACCAAACGTGTTGGGTAACCATCTCGAAAAGGCTTTTATTAATAATAATAATAATAATAATAATAATTAACTACTAGGCTTCACGTGTTAACGGTTTGAGACTTTTCTTTCTGTCTCTCTCTTTTATTTTTGAAGGACCTTTTAGAGTCCCTCAACTTTCAATTTTTACGATAAAATTTTAACCTTCTTGGTACTCTTTTGGTCCATCGATTTTTGAATTTAGTACCAAAATGGTCCCTCCACTAACCATTTGATGACATGTCACGTTAACCATTTGATATGTATAAAAATTAGGGAAAATAATTAATACATTCTCTAGTTTAATATATCCATCAATATACACCAATTCAGTTATAAAAATTTGTAGCTTATGAGTTTTCCCCCACCTTTAATCTAAATTTAAAAATAATAATTTCTTAATAAGTATGTTAGTAGGTGTATTAAATCAAATAATGTACTAATCATTGTCCAAAAATTAGGTCACTAAAATTATCAAATGTCAGAATCCTAGTAAATTGTTAAGGGTTTTCTATTTTGGACGATGGGGGAGCTTGAGTTAGTTTTCATTTAGTTTGAAGCTAATTTTTTCCTGAACAATTTTAAAGGCGCACCCCTCACATTAACCTATGTGCAGTCAACAAAAATAACTTCCTTAGGTGCTAACAACATGACCAAAAGAAAAAATGCTAACAAAAAACTTGGACGTAACATTTCAAATGACACACCTTTATTGCCTTTGAAATGATATAGTTTGTATTTGGGATTATTGTGAAGTGCTAGGTTTCAGTGTTCTATTATAAGAAAATTGTGTTATTATTTGATAATTGTTTTGAAAAAAGTTTTATATATTAATATGACCACAAAATTATACAAACTATCAATTAAAATTTATTTAATAATAACAAACTAGTACTTTTATAAAGTGTTGTGTGAAAAGGCATTGTGAGAAAGTAACCCTAAATGCAACTTTAATAATTATAATATCACATAGCATTGTAAGCTTAGAATATGTTGTACGTGGCCAAGTGAATGGGAGATTAAGGCTTGTTTTGCTAAGGGAAGGATTAACAATTGGTGAATGGAGACTGTCACTCATTGGGTTATCTACTTTCTCCAGAAGCTAGCAATTTAAGTGGGATTTTCCAATAATTTTGACCGAACAAATAAGATAATTCTCCCACTAGGTAGCTTTGTCTTTGCCCTTATAAGGATTGCTTTTAATTCTCAATTGTAGATGACTTTCTATATTAATTATTTAAATTTATCGTGGGCATGGTTTAAATTTGAATTTGTGTTATAGGTTATGCTTCAGTTTTAAACTATATTGTTATGATATATAGAGATTTTGACTTAATCTTTTTTTACTTTTTCAATAAAATCTCTTTTTATATATATATAAAAAATGATAAGAAAACTTAGGAGAGCGAAATTGTATAAAGAAATTACTACCTTGAAATATAGGGATAGATGACTAATTTTTCTTTCACTTTTAACCAACCGTTTTGTCATAACTACTCTTTTTTTCTTTTTTTTTGTACTAATTCTCCAGTATTTGATAGTCACATTGGATCTCGACTAATTTAACATTGAGCCATGTTAGATCTCAAGAGAAAGCTCTTCCAGTGCCTGTTTCTCTATTCACATTATTCGAACTCGAAATCTTACTTAAGGGTAACCGAACTCCTTCCATTTGAACTAACAAGTTGTTGATGTTATAACTACTCTTCTTCGACAAATAGTTGAAAGCTTTCAAAAGATGAAGGAACCCTCTAGCAATCTCCATTTTTAAGTGACATATTTAAAAACTAATTCAATATAGTTTAGAAAACTTTCTTTAAGTAGGGAACTTAAATTACAGTTTAATTCTAACTTTCTAGAAGGATCTTGATGTTGGCAATCTAATAATATATGGCTACATTTTAAAAAAAAAATCGATGTGCATTTTGTCCTTCTAATTGAAGTAATTGTTCCGTTAGGATCTAACTACTGGAGTGGTACTCTTGATATATCATATATGAAAAATTTTGCTTTTGTTAATAAAAGATTTGGATTATCCCTTGTGCCCTTTTTTTTTTTTTGTTACTAATATTTATTTTTCCCTGATAAAAAAGTATTTTTTTTTCAATGATAAGATAGTTTCTTGCGAGGATGGAACAAAGGGGTGTTTGGAGATATAGAGGCTCAGTTTGAAAGGGTAGCAGCCCAAGTAGCACGGGTAGACATGAAGAATGAAGATTTTATGCTGGAAGAAGATGAGGTACATGAAAGACAGGAGGGCTTTCAAGAGATATGGGACATGTTGAGGAAAAGGGAAGCTTTATGGAGGCAGAAGTCAAGAAGTAACTGGGTAAAATTGGGGGATGCAAATACTAGGTTCTTCCATAAAATTGCAAATGGACGGAAGGCTTGTAATGGCATTGTAGGGCTCTCGTGTGATGGACAATGGGTGGAGGAGCCAGAGATGGTAAAAAAGGTGGCTGTTGATTACTTTCAAAAGTTTTTTTGTGGAGAATCATGGAATCGTCCAAAACCTTCCGGTATTACTTTCAAGCAGATAACTGAGGAGATGAGGGTATGGCTAGAAAGACCATTTTTGGCAAAAGAAATCGAGGATGGATTGAAGAATTGTGAGGGGAATAAAGCACCAGGACCGGATGGATACAACTTCAATTTTATCAAATTTGCCTGGAATAGCTTGAAGGAGGATTTTGTAAGTTTCTTTGGGGAGTTCCATCAACATGGCAGGTTAGTTAAGGGTCTAAATTCTTCCTTTTTGACTTTGATCCCTAAAAAGCTGAATTCTGTGGAATTAAAAGATTTTAGACCTATTAGCCTGATTGGGTGTATTTATAAACTATTAGCAAAGGTGTTGGCAAATAGGCTTAAGGTGGTAATGTCACAGATTATTAGTAATACTCAATCTGCTTTTGTTGGGGGGCGTCAGTTAGTCGATGGGGTGTTAGTCTTAAATGAAGTTGTGGAGGAGGTCAAAAGACGAAAGCACCAAGCTTTTATTTTTAAGGCAGACTTTGAAAAGGCTTATGATTGTGTCGATTGGTCTTTTCTGGATTGGATGATGAACAGGTTTGGTTTTGGAGTGCGATGGAGAGGATGGATAAAAGAGTGTCTTTCAACAGCCAGAATCTCGGTGTTAGTGAATGGAAGCCCAACCGAGGAGTTTATGATAGGTAAAGGATTAAGGCAAGGGGATCCTTTATCCTCTTTTTTGTTTCTGATGATTGTTGAGGGGTTACATGGTCTAGTTAAAAAAGCTGAGTCAGAGGGCCTGTTACATGGAATTGATGTGGGTAGCAAGGGATTGACTATTTCATTGCTCCAATTTGCAGACGATACGGTGATTTTGGGAAAAGCAAATGGAGAGAATATTTTTACGGTGAAAACCATTTTAAGGTGGTTTGAGTTAATGTCTGGTTTGCGAATTAATTTTCGTAAAAGTAGTATTGTTGGGTTTAATGTGGTTCAGAGGTGGTTAAATGGAGCATCATCTGTTTTGAGATGTGGTGTTGGGGAGTTACCTTTTGTGTATTTGGGAATGCCAGTGGGTGGCAATCCTGGGACTAAGAAGTTGTGGGACCCAGTGTTGAATAAATTTCGAACCAAGCTTGCCGTCTGGAAATCTGCCTTGTTGTCCTTTGGCGGTCGCATTACTCTGCTTAATTCGGTACTCTCCTCTTTACCTATTTTTTATATGTCTTTATTTTTAGCGCCTAATTGTGTGGTGTCTGAGTTGATTAGAATACAGAGGGATTTTCTGTGGGGTGGGGCTGAATTAAAGAGGAAGATTCCTTGGGTTAGCTGGGAGATGGTATGTCGTAGTAAGGAGAAGGGTGGGTTAGGAGTCATGGATTTGAGGAGGAGGAATTGGGCACTTTTAGGGAAGTGGTGGTTTAGGTTGGGTGAGGGTGGTGAGAGCTTATGGAAACGGGTTGTGTGGGATAAATATTATGGGGGTCGGAGGGAGGTAGACATCAGGGCAGTGGAGAGTGTGAGGATGTCTAGGATTTGGAGGGATGTTATTAGTGTCAGGGGGAGCTCTATCAAATTACAAGACATGTTAGGGAAGGGGTTTAGGTGGATGGTCGGTGATGGAAGGCAAGTAGGGTTTTGGCATGAGATTTGGGTGGGGGATATATCTCTAAAGGAGTTATGCCCTAGGTTATGCGAGCTAGCTATGAATAAGGATGGTATGGTTAGCGAAATGGGGATGTGGGAAGGGGGTTTCTGGAGATGGAATGTTGGCTGGAGAAGAGGGAGGTTGGGTCGAGAGAAGGGGGAGGAGGCGGTGCTGTGGGAGGTGCTCAGCAGAGTACAAATCACGGAAGGTCGCGAAGATTGCTGGACGTGGAGGCATGATGCGGAAGGGAGATACGCGGTGAAGACAGCCTATGAGTTTCTGTCACCAACGGAGTCCATCCTTCCTGATCAAATTTGTAAGTTGATTTGGTGTAAATTAGTACCCTCAAAAGTTAGTTTTTTTGGGTGGAGATTATGTTTAGACAGACTCCCAACTAAAAGAAATTTAGGAAAAAGAGGGATTATTTTGTCGATTGAAGATCTAAGGTGTGGTTTGTGCAAAAAGGAGGAAGAGGAGTGCAATCATTTATTTTCTTCATGTGATGAAGCCTGGTTAGTTTGGGCTCAGGTAATGTCCTGGTGGGGTCTGCAGGTTGTGATGCCAAATACAGTGGGAGGGGTGATGGAGCTTTTCTTGTATGAGTTGGGGGGTATGGTAGGGAGAGAGCTAGGGGCGTGTCTTTTCCTTGTTGGGTCTTGGTATATTTGGTATTGGAGGAATATTAGAGTTTTTTAGAATAAAGGGGAGGGTAGGGACGGTTTGCTCCATATGATTCAATCCAAAACATTTTTATGGATTAAAAATAAGGTGGCTGGAAGTGTCTTCTCATTAGTTGATTGGAAACTTAATCCACGGGAATGTGCTGATGCCATGAGGAAGCATAGAAGCTTGCTGCGAGCGTTCCATAAGCACAAAGATGGAAAGCATGATGAGTAGTGTGACTGGACTGTGTTGGATTACATGTTTATTGGGATTACTTTGTTTTAGTTAGAATTTTGTTTTTGTTTGTAATTGGGTTGGAGTACCCCTTGTACTCTATCTAATTAAATCTGTTTTATTTTGCTGATAAAAAAAAAAAAAGTTTTTGGGCTTGTTTTTGCATGAACATTGATTGAAACATTTTTTATTTAATAAACTATACAATATATTTATTAAAAAATTATTATTTGTTAAACGTCTGAAATTAAAAGCATATAAATTTTAAGACACAGATATGTATAAATAATACAAAAACTAATTGAATTGGTTATATTTATATTATATTTTAATAATTAAACTAAATAAATATCGAAAGATGTATCAAATCGAGATATATACTAATTATTATTATTATTATTATTATTTCATATATATTTACCTTTGCAGTGTCAATTAAAAATATGATATCCTTATTAAAATTAACAGATTAATGAGAAGTTACCCTTCTTTACTCCCAATGAGAGCAAATTCCCTTTATCAATTAGGCTAAGCCAGGGTGTCACTGAACCAAATCGTTGTCTAAAACACAATATCACCAAATGGTTAGGAATTTTACCCTCTTTCAAATGTCGGAAACTTAAATTGCCTCAAAGGCTATTACCTACACCCTTAGAGCACAATTATGACTGCCTCCCTATGCCTCTGTCTAGAGGGGTGCAAAATTGACCGCAATTCAAAAATTGATCGAGTCGGGCTGAAATCATAACTAACTAACAAGTCAAGTTTGACAAGGTCTCAGGTTTTTCACTAAAATTTGAACTGAAACCAAATTTAGTTGATTTGACTTTTGATTGATAGATCTAAAAACTGAATATCCAATGATAAGGTCGAGTATAACCAAAAAAGCTAGCTTAAATTTTCTTTAAAAAGATTTTCTCAATGTTTTCTTAATTATTTTTAAGGGTGCGATTTTAATTGCAGTTTGAGAGTTTTTTTTGCGTAATCATATAATATTTTTAGATATTTATTTATTTGATAACTTTTTTTGAATTATTTTGTTTAAAAATTATAAAAAATTA